TTTTCAATCAATGAAATGCATACAAATAAGACAACTACCATTTTTTTGTAAAATAATTTTATATACTAAAGAAAGTTTTGTTCACAATACAAACATAGGTATACACTGATGTCCACTGTTAATTTTCTCCTGTGTACAATGGTTTTCCCCAAAAATCAGAGCAAACAAAGCATTTCCTGAAAATGTACTGGAGTGATAGAGAGAAGGCAAACACATGGCAAGTGGGGTGGGGCTACTAGGCACATTCATTAATCATCCTCTACTGCCCATCTAAGGATTCTATCACTATAAGCCTAACCAAAAAATATTAGGGTTCTATTCCCCAGAATCATACTTGAAAAGTCTTTTTAAAATGTTCCCTTTAATATCATTTTGCTACTCCAGGAAATCTGCGAAACGTATGACATTGAGATTGGATAGTGCGTATTATCTGTATGCTGAAAGATCCTTTTACCAATACAGATATGCCTGCTGGGATCTTAAGCATTTGGGCTAACAAGACAAATAGCTGAATGCAAAATATCAACAATCCCAAAAAGGGAAGTTTAAGGGTGGCTACAGAATCATTGAAAGATTGCAAACAAGACATTTGCCTGTTGCCATGTGCTGTGTTACTTGGCAGTGCAAGTGGAATGAAAAGATCACATAGCAGTGAGAAAGTAGAGCTTTTTAATCGATGTTCAAAGTTTCTCATGTTAGAAAATGAGCATAGTCGACAGCCCATTTTTGGGGGTTTGTGTGTATGTCATAATGTGGCCTCTGTTTTATATTTGTTCCAATAAACAAAAAAAGGGAGGAAAGAAAAGCCTATTTGTGTCGTTTCATGCATGTCAATCTTTTGGAAGGTCCACATGTGAACTAAGTGGACCACTTATGGTTGTTGCAATCCATTATAGCTTTGCCAGCAAAATAATCGCATGCAGTTAGAAAAATTTAAGAGAGAAGCAAAGTACCAGGTAGCTTGCCAAACAGGAGACCCAAACTGCAAAATAGACTATGCCAAATGAGCTTAAAAAAAAAACTTAAAGCTGAACTTCGGATAAACAAATGTTTTGGGGTTGTTTTGCTGCCTCTGGCATGACTGTGTTCTGAAATGATTACCAAAGGAACTGAGGCCCAGTGTCAGAAATTTCCAAGATCCTGGGTCTTACTTGACCCCAAAAACGTCAAAAAGCACTTGGATGGCAAAGGCGCTGGAGAGTTTGTGTGAGCCCATTTCTAAATCCCATCTGTGGAGATCTGTTGGGAAAACAGTCCTTCCAATAATGCTGGAGCTGTTTGCAAAGGAAGAGTGGTCCAAAATTCCGGGTTGTCAGAAGCTTATTTGGTTATAGGAAGCGACTGATTTCAGTTATGCAAAGGGTTGCAACCAGTTATGCCAATACTTTTGTCCAGCCCATTTTTGGGGTTTTGTGTGACATTATGTCATATTTGCTTTTCTGTTGTTTTATATTTGTTCAATACTACAAAGGGAATAAACTTGTAGCACATGTGTTAATGCAATACTTTTTTGTGTGAAATACTTGATTTTGAAAAATATCAATCAACATTTCGGCCATGACTGTATATATTTGTGTCTTCATGCTGTCAATCTTTGGAAGGTCCACATGTTTCTTATGGTTGTTGCAATGTTATGCTTTGCCAGAAATAATCCTGTAAGAGAGAAGGTAGGTGGAGCTGCTGCTTAAAAAAAAAACTTAAAGGTCCCTCTCACAGCTGTGCTCTCTGCACAAGTATGATGACATTGCTCTCACAGCTGTGCTCTCTGCACAAGTATGATGACATTGCAATAAAATAAAAAAAAAAAAATAAAAAAAAAAAATAAAGGGGGGGGGGGGGGGGGGGGGGGGGGGGGGGGGGGGGGGGGGGGGGGGGGGGGGGGGGGGGGGGGGGGGGGGGAAAAAAAACAAAATTCGCATTTTGCTGCAAAATAGACATGCCAAATGAGCTTAAAAACTTAAAGCTGAACTTGGTTAATCAAATTATTTCTAAATTGTGGCATATTTATTTCTTACTTAAATCTTTGTGGCTTTGTGTATTTCTTTCATGATCTGTACAGTAATGCAGTGTGAAAAAGTTTGCTTTGTGCAGGAGCTTACCATTATAAAGACCAGTCACTGTTTTGCAAGATAGGTTTACAAAAGGCACACAAAGTGGATTTATATTCAAGGTGGTTATTGAAAAACTGAGAATAGAGAATTGTATGTTTAAATGAAAGTTTTTGTTCCCAGAGTTCAGTTTTAAGATATCTGATTCACATTTAATTTTGTTGCCAATGTTTTTTTCTAGCATGCAACATTTCGCAGGAGCCTAAACCAAGTACATCCCATTGAAAGAAATTTAGAATGATAACTTGAAGGCTTTTCAATGCAGCTACAGTATTTGCACATATACAGGTCAAATATCTTATGTTATGGCAAAGTATATGCACTTTATAATTGCATTTATGGATGTTAATGTTACCTCTCTCTAGTGAAACAGTTTTTTGTCCTGCTGTATATTATGTGTTTCTACTAAAGTCTGAGGAAGATGCAAAAGAAAAAAAACATTAAAATGCATTAGCTTGTGTTTTATTTTATTACAACCTGCATCTGATAGTTAAAACCTTAAGTTCCAAATAGAAGATTCAGCAAAATGTTACACAATCCAATCTATTAGGACAAATCTATGTCATTGATGAAAAAAAATAATTTAAATACCCTTTTTATGCAGTGCTTAATCCACACTCCTGTCTAGCTCCACACACTTTCATAATCCCTATAAAAGCATATTCTATAATAATAAAATTGCCTCTAATCTGGCCACTTGACTTTATTTAGATAAATACAGATTCCTGATGAAAATATGACCTATATAGCAAAATTGAATATGGCACACTGTAATGGGTGCACAAAATGGAGGTTCCAAGCTATGCAGTCCTATAAATTAAGAGTAGGTTGGTTGTATTTGGGGAAACAAAGATTCCACTGGAGATAAGATCAGTAGATAACCATAGCCGGTATATCTTTGGTTTGATAGAAATTGTGTTTAAGAGCTCTGCTCATTTTAAGGCACCCATAAACTACAGATGACATTCAGACATTAGACAACAGTACAATTTTCAGAACATTGTTTTTTGTGTTGTTGTTTTGTTAGTGTTTTAATGCTGAATGATATGTACTGCAAGAACAAATTGCCACAAAACTTCAGCAAGATTGGTCCAGATTATAGTTTAGGTGTCCCAGGCTGTAGCCTGCTGCCTTAATGTCCTTTAACATGGCAAGTGCTGGACCACAGACCTGGCCTGGTTATGGGTACCTTTGGCACTCTTCTCTAACCACAAAATAACAAGTGACCTAAAGATACTGACATCTAACTTCTATGCATTAATAATTAGTCCATACATATGACAGTAGTGGCTTGCATGAGCACGTTTACAGAAGCAGTAGGGACCATTTCAGGTATCACAGTACTCCTTTGCTCTACAAATGTGGATGAATAAATGCCCCGTGTACAGTTTGCAGAGATGAGTAACACACATTCCATACTGCATCAATATCAATCACATGAAATGCTGATACACTTCCAACTTTACGACCATAAAAAAGACAAATTGGCACACTGCAGTGTAAAGGACCAATCTTCTCCATGCTTAAAAAAAAAAAAAAATCTGGCCTTTCTTTGGGAGGAAGGGCAAGACATGCAGATTGTGGGCTGCCAGTTAAGTACATTATTTTGATAAAAATATTAAATCCACCCAGGAAAAAAAAATCTTGGTTTTCAATACAAAAAAATATGTATTTTCCACTTAAATTTTAGGCACTGAATTTGTGACACAAGAGGGTGACAGTCATTATACATTTTTTCCTAAGAGTCCTGCTTTACAAAAGTCCGACCGGCCAATACCAAAATTCTTTAGCATTTGTCTTCATGACAAGTCTCTGTTTGTGCTCAGGGTAACTTGTTAGAAGTGCCACAACGACACTTGTTGGAAGCTCCCACTTTAACTTGAAAATAAAAATTGAACTTCAATTGGTCTTTCATTCATACTCAACAAAACAGTCAAGGACCAGATGTCAATATTCACTTTGGCCATTCACCAAAATTCTAAAGTTTTTTGGCAAGAAGGAAAACTGCTTAACTAATTATTGAGTCACATTAAATACCACCTTCTGGATTCCCATAAAAACTTCACAAGTCCATATTGGAGAATTAAATGCACCAGCATTATTTAAAACTTTCACACATCGAAGACCAAAAAGGTGCATTAAACCCACACAGTAGAATTTGCTTTCTGCTGCTCCCTGATATGTTAAATAGGATCTCTTAGTCTTATGAACTGGCCACACACAACATGACGTTTAACTGTGAACCAGATTAAAATACTGTGCAAGCTATTAACAAAAAAAAAAAAAAATTAGTGGGCTATTATGGTGGATATAGCTACAAAGTTTCGACCACGGAAAGTGCAGGAGTTACATTTCAGTGGGGTCCAAGAAGCTAAATTAAAAAAAAAAAAAAAAAAAAAAAAAGTGAGACAAGGAGTGTTAATAGAGATCTCCTATCCCACGCAATCCTCCACAGCCTTCTCATAAAATGGCGCCGTACCATGAACTGATGCACTTGGCAGCAACATATGTAAAAAATAAAAATAACATTAAAAATAAAACAAAAACACCTTATGACAGTTGCGGTTTCTACATGGTTTTCCAGGTTCGGAAACTGTTCACACACACACAAACATATTTATATTTTATATATATATAGATATTTATATATATTCCTTTTGGCTCAAAACATAAAACACAGAAGGTTCTGTTAGGGTGAGGTCTTTGTGGTTTCATGGCCCTTCCCCCTCATGTCCATGCTTCTTCAATTTAAGGGTTCCATCCCTGTTTCCCCCAAGTCTCTTCACCTTGGAAAAGGATTGAGAGGCTCAAAGAGAATGTGAGATGCCTCTGAGACTGCCAAAGACAGCCAAGTCCCACATGGCTGACTCATAGGGAAGGGTTTTCTACAGCTCAGTCTTTCACCAGCCTGTAGATGTGATGCTGAGCTCCATGTTCACTGGTGGACACTTCAAATACATAAGCTATGCAGAGGAGCAGTTCTTGAGTGTCCCGATTTGTAACCACCTGAATGGGATACAAAAAAAAAAAAGATAACATATTAAGATTTCATTTAAAAATGCATATTAAGAGTCTTCAGTAAATATGTCCAAGAGCAGTTGGTTGTCTCACAAGAGACTAGCAACACTAGCAGCATTGGTGGGAGGCCATTTGGGTGAACAGTGAACATATCCTAAATATTACTTAAAAATCATCACAATGTAACTAGCATAAGTTCTGGCATTTTTCTATATATCAAATTCCTGTAATCCTATGCACATAAAGACACAGACTGGAAGAAGGAGGGGAAGCACAATGAGTTTATTAATTTGTACTAGAAATGTACCAAGGCAGTATCTGATAATCCCCTTTAGTAATAAGCATAAAGTAATAATAAAGTCTATTTAAAAAAAAAAAGTAAAATAGGTCATACTTACCTGTTCTGTTCAACGATACTGCATAGAAAACACTATCTTCTTTGCTTTTCTGGCAGTCCTCTGCTGACACCATCACTTTTCTCCCTGCTCTGGGTGCCTCCTTAGCAAACTAGGTGCTAAGCAGACACCGGCGCATGCATGCTCTTGAGCCGGGGTGTGTATGTCTATAGACACACAGTGCTAGTAAACCACACCTCTGCTCTCTTTAACTGACAGCAGCAGGAGCCTATGACTTATGCTTCCCTCAGTGTCTCCTGTAAAAGCAGGAAGCAAAGGGAGAGGTGCTTCAGCTGAGACAGCGCTGGAGTGATGACATGAGCCAGGTAAGTATTTAGGGATGTGGGGGTGGGAGGGTGGCTTTTATGGAGAGATAGTGGAACTGCTTTAAGGATTTTTGTAATGCAAACCTGTGGATCCGTTTTCTTGCTGACTCTGTTACAATAGGGTGCTGTCAGTCTGTCTAACACTGAACATGCTTACAGGAGGTAAAAAACAAGATGATGCATCCTACTCCTTTACTGTCCATTGAGCAAACAGGTGATGTAACTTGCACCAAGCTGTTCTCTTCCAGCTGTAGTCCATTATCTAGTTTGTCTCTGATTATTTACAAATCCTTTCACAAGTAAATCTAATTTATTAAAGCTCTATACTTAGCTGCTTGATTGGATTTGAATTAAAGTCAATGCGGAAAATTGCATAGATATATTACTGCAAAGGCCTGTGTGTATTGCATGGGTCACACCTCAGTGTGGTAAACACAGACTGTAATGCACAACCAACAAATAAATGCACAGTTTATACATGATGCTGACGTGCATTTGAAACACTCTGTGCCAAGATGCATAGAACTGGCCTATTAGCAAAGGAAAGTGCAAAAATACTTTTTTACCTGCAGTATAGTAAAGTTTTCTAACACACTGTTCATCATATATTTTTCTGGAAGCTGCTTTAATTTGTGGATGAAATTGATGAGATATTCACACATGGGTGAGCGATGGATGCGATAAAGAAAACGTCCATTTTCAAACCGAGCATACTCTGTCTGTGTGTGAGAAAGAATGGGATTATCAGGGTTAACCCGTTTACAAACCTTTACTTCTGAATAGGATCATTATATTTACATTGTTTATTGAAGGGAATTCTCAGGAAAATGGGAAATTCTATTTGTTTAGGACATGCAGGGCCCCAACCGCATGCAAATTTTGGACAGTTACAGGTAGCATCTGCCGCAATCTTTAAGCAAATCGGTCACAGAATAAAAAATGATTAACTAATGTAGTCCAGAAGGTGCCTGCACTAAGCCACAGTTTGGGAATCCATATTAGGTGCAGGTGAGAGCTCCCCATTCCCTAAAGCAATGATGCTTTAATGTTTCATAGGTCAACAGAGATACCCAAATTTGCATTGAGACTCTGAAAAAAAATTGTGCCAGAGCACCAAGGTAATGCAAAGTCATGAATGGCAGGAAAGCTCTCCTTGCATGCTGATGATGCTTATAGATTTAATGATACATATAGCCACTTTTTACTTCCTGCTCTGAAATACTTGTCTTAGGTAGAGACTTTTTATTGGATATAGAATATCTCTGAAATTATTTGCAAATTAAATCATGACTTCTTTTTTTTTTATTCAAAAGGCACTTTGCTATTAGACAGTGGGGTTGCCCATGACTGCTAATAGCAGAGGGGGCCATCACACAGAGCAGGAAATCACTCATTTGCCTGTGAGTGGCAGGATTGCAAAGCTCACATTGAAAGGGACCCCTTCCCAACCAGTGTTTTTGATGTGGAGAAACAGCCTTTGAATCCGGCACCCTATTTCCAGTTGCACTCAAATCAGAAAGTTTTATTTTTCTCATGTAAGTTCAGGCCACTATAAATACTGTACAGGAGACAATGGTTTCTCACCTCTACTTTCTCCACTACTTGCTTTCCAAAGGAGCAGACTTTGGAAGAACAGGTGATGGTCATATTCTCTGGGCTCTCATACTGGCTGCTTACGCCATAAAATATACCTGGTTCATCCTGAATGCTGGTATTGAGGTCAGCCTGTTAACAAAATAATGCAGAAATAAACAGAAGAGAAAACACACAACATAAAATCGTATTTGCATAAAGGTGTGTGACTTACTGAAATCTGGGACAGAGTCACATGTAGTGAGGAAGGATGAGTCACTGCTCAGACTCATTCACGCACGTGTGTATTTTCCCCACAGAACATCTCATAGTTCTAAAACTTCACTGAAATGATATTATCTATTCAGCTGAGAAGTAAATAGTGCCTAGCAGTTCTTCCCCAAGGTGAGCATTAGAAAGGTGACATGGTGACGTACTTCCTGTAGACGCCATCTTTGAACACCAGGGTGCATCCAGTACACCCAGCTTAGTGGTGTAAAAGCTTGTTGTTTTCATCTCAAATGTAAGTGTGCACTTGGCGTTTTTTTTTTTCATCTTAATAAAGTAATGGTTTTACACTATGGAGGCATTCTGTTTTATGGTCCCATATGATGCACTGGCATGAATGTATGCATTGCAAACTGTGGATGGAGGCTTAAGAGGGAGTGAAGGAGATACCATTAAGGAGTGTGGAGCCTGACCAACCCCAGAGATTACAAGCAGGATCCAGGGTGATCCAAAAGGCGTTGTGGCCTCTGGGGGTCGCAGTGGGAAGGTGAGCGCGCATGCCTGCTGGTTTGGATTTTCTCTTCACTTTATCACCAAACGCATGAGCACGTCTGAAAACGCATGGTTGATGCAACCTTATAACAATAGAAAGTTTATTTAAGGACATTAATGATTTAAGTTGATCTGTTTCATTATGACTAATACACATGTCACTTATATGGGAATATTTATCCCTATATAGGGAAGCACCATGGTTTAATCAAATCCCTTGATGGGAATCAAATTAACACCACCTGTTTAGGTTCCATTGAACCTCTCATCTTTTTTGCATCTTAATTAGCACTTGTGGTTCACTGAATCAGATCTTACACTATATATATTGTATGATTTTGTGACATCTATTATTATTATTCATACTTTATATCATCAAGTATCAATAATAGGCGATTGCATCAATTGTATCTATAGCGCTGCATCATAGTACCAATATTGTCTTTAATGCATCTTGAGGGGATGTTTTAGATGCTAGCTGCTCCTATTTAGTTTTGCATAACAGCGCAGGTGGACCCCTTAACACTTTTTCTTTGGCATATAGTGAACTTGGTGTAGAGCTATTCACCCTGAGGTCATCACAGAGGACAAGGGGGCACTCTTTATTTCTGGAGGAAAATAAATTTAAATCTCCAAACACGGAAAAGTTTCTTCACAGTGAGAGCTGTGAAAATGAGAAATAGACTCCCTCAAGAGTTGGTTCTGGCCAGCTCAATGGATTGCTTTAAAAAAGGCCTGGATTCTTTCTTAGATACACAGAATATAACTGGATACTAACATTTATAGATAACGTTGATCCAGGGAATATCCGATTGCCTCTCGGGGGATCGGGACAGACTTTTTTCCCCTGCAGGAGCAAATTGCATCATGCTTTGCTGGATCAACTGTGGGTATAGGATTATAACATTTTATTTTTTTTAATGGTTGAACTGGATGTCTTTTTTCAGCCAGACTAACTATGTAAGAGGAACCCTTAAAATCCGATCTCAGGGAATCCCTGTAAAAAAATGACTATATCTACAACTCATGATACATTAGTGTGATGGTCAGTGGGAAGAATGCTTCTTACACTTGAGTTCATTGGGAAGAATGATCCCCTTACAGATTGCTAAGAGATCATTGGTGTCAATGGGAACTTATCTGAAAGACAGAAATTGTGAGTTGCTCAAGGAACCACTAGCAACCTCTGGAAGAACCCTAGGGTTCTATGGATCTCTAGTTGAGAAACCCCCATTGTTATTTAATCAATAAAACAACTGTCATGTCCTACCCAGAACTTGACCAAAAAGAAGGCATTGGGTGGCCCTTTCTCGTAGAGTTCTTTAAGTCCTCCCTTCTTTTCAGGAAACTTGTCGTAAATCTGACGCACATCCACAGACTCCAGTAATGCATCACTATAGGAGGGATTCGACTGGCTGATATGTACATACAGATGCTTGTTGTACTGTGGAGAAAAATGTACATAACATAGCTCAAGGCGGTTTATATACAAAAGGACACTGTTGTGAGTACAGATCTAGTTAGGCGACATCTATTGAAATGTACTATGCATTGTACTTACTGCATCAGGTTCTCCTTGCTGTTCCATAAAGGCCATAAATTCCACTAAACGCAGCTTGGGTGTGCCAATAGAGCGGCCCTGCCACGCAGGCCCTGTAGGTATCGGAGACAGACTGGCAGGACTGGCATTATAACCTTAAAAGGCAAAGAAAACATGAGTGACAAGGAATTGCTAAATACATAAAAATAATGTAGGCATAAGGTGAGACCATATCTACATGGGTTTAGTTTACCAATGCACTCTAATCTAAAGCATAGAAATGTATGAATGTAAATATCAATGAACGTACATATGAATATTATAGGAATGAACGAATTAAGAATAACTATAACTAAGCACTGATGAGCCACTTTACAAGTATACTTGAGTTATTTTTCTTTTATTCATTGTTTTAGCATGAAGATGCCGAATTTGCGATAATAAATATCATGGGGTGGAGACAGTATATTTTCTTATATGCTGTTATTTTATAAGCACTTAGAAAAGGCTGGCTTTCTGCCCTCTGTAACAACCACCTCATAAAAACTTGATGTTAACCCCAGACAGAAATTATTGGCAATTTTTAAAGCAAAACTTGTGCGTGAACTGACTTTTACTCTTGGAATAATGCACAAACCATTATTTATCCATGTGATAAATTCAGCAAATTTGTGATAACACCTTTAGTGAATAAAAGAACAATAAATGCTTTTCTAAGTTATAAGCTATATTGTAAGCTCGAAAGAGCAGGGCCCTCGAACCCCTCGTGTATTGTTTTGTTACTGTCTTGTCTCATGTACTGTCCTCCCACTATATTGTACAGCGCTGAGCAAACTTTTTGGCGCTATATAAATACTGTATAATAATAATACATAAAAATAATAAAAAAAAATAAAAAGTTATAAAAAGTTATATGCTTTTTGTGAACCAATACTCTGATGGTTCATTCAAATTATCTAACTATCTAAATACCACATGCAAACTATTAGCCTAAATGTTCCAAAATGTTTTTACATCTGTAGCCAATGAAAGGAAACAAAAAGGTTGAATGAAAGGAGTGAAAAAAGAAAGAAAAGATATATCGGGAAAATGTAAAGCTGTCACAACTTATAGACAGAAAAAAAAAATCTGTACCTGGTACAGCAGGAGGGGGGGCAGCAGGCTGCAGGGGGTATGGAGGCTGGGAAAACGGCTTAACACTATAGAAAATAATACAAATGATAAAATAAACATAAGTAAATAAGTAAAATGAAAACAAATTCACCTTTGAAGCCCTTTTCTGTCCCATGAAGCAATGTAATTAAAAGAAAAAAATCATAGAAAGAAATAGATTGACAAATAGTATCATATATAAAATTTGTGTGTAAAAAAGAAAAAAAATAGTTTCCATTAGAATAATCTTACATACCCAACCTACAAACTGACCTGGGAAGACTACATCTATTTCTAAAATGTCTGACTGCTTTGGGACCCAAAAGCACTCAAAAAATCAGAGCTGCCGAAGACATGCATAATACTGTTCCAATTCATAGATTATTGATTCACTGATCATACAATATATAGACTTTGTGGGCTTCATAGTCACAGAAATCTAAGGTACAACTTTAACTTTATAACTGCAGTAACACACTCACTTTATGACCATGTTTTGACTTATTTTTGTGCTTTTTTAAAGTCCTAGTTAAGGACATACGTGTTAAAAAATGCACTGCCAGCAAGAAAATATGTTCCACACAGATTGTGACATTAGATTCAGAGAGAGTAATGACAGAATGCTTGAGTGGGCAGTACTTACTCTTGTGTCGGCCGGGGCTGGCCAGGTCCTCCGGGCCAGAACTGGAAAAATTCTGGAGACTAGAGAAAAGAAGAAAAAAGTGGAATGGTTATCATATTTACTCTATGCTTGCAACACATCTAATATCTGTGTTTAAAGTATTAATAGCAAGAACTAGAATTAGGCTCATTCACACAGGCGTACTATAGCATATGTGAGGGAAGTGTTTGCCTACACAGTGATGCATAGATGTTCCCATTCATTTCAAATTTGGAGGCATTGGCTGGACAAGGTCGCTGCTCCCATTTTGACAGCCATTTGGGTGTGGCACATGGTCCTGAACGCACACTGTCTGTGTTTGGGTTTTAATTTGAGTAAAAATAAACATTTCCAAAGTTTACTATAAAAGCTACACTTGAAGTTTTTGGGAAGACTTCGAGATTGATTTATTAAAGGCAAATAGGCTGTTCACCTTGCAAGGAAAATTTCATGTTAAAAAGGTAATTTACCCTTTGCTTGAATGTGAATGTGGTGAAAATTCACTTTGCAAAAAATACCCAATCACAAGCAAGGAAAAAACATTTTTTTATTACTTGCATGAGATTGAATGATGGAAGTCAGTAAAGCTTCACCTTATTCACTAAGCTAAGAGAAAATTCCCCTGGTAAGTGAACAGCCTATTTGCCTTTAGTAAATCAAACTCTATATCCTTCATGAGGTAAGGCTTTCTGCTGTGTCCCTGCAGCTTCGCAGAGGAACAGAAGAGAAATTACAGGCAGCCCACATTCATATACGAAAATCAGCCTCTAAGCTACACTATACAAAAATGTAAGCTTATATTTCACAAAAAACACACAAAAAAAAAAAACCTTTCATAACTAAGGACAAAATATTTTTCTGAATTTTACTCTGCTTTAACAAGGTGGGGGCAGAAAAATCCTGATCCAGTCATCTGCCTTCTGACCATCCCCTTTATTGTCCTCCTGGAGCAGCTGAAAGCTAGCATCTCCTCCTTGCCCTTCCTCCAGCGTACAGCTGCTGTGGGAGGAAAA